CATAACCGCCCCAGCTACACAAGAAAATGTACTGGAAAAGGGATGTTCCTGCCCCAAGCCCCCAGGCCATATGAACAACAAACAGAAAATGCAAGTTAAAGAAGGTACCCATGACAATAGTGATTTAAAAAAAAAAAAAGAACCTAGGACTCTATCTAACAAAGAAATGTTCAAGACTTTTTTTGGGAGAAAATCACAAAACTTCATGGAGGTATTGTGATACCTCCATATAACTCATATAACAGATGAGTTATATGGAGGGATTTAAAATATTCACAGATAACAAGCCTCAGTGAAGGGGCCAATTCTACCCAAAATGATTAATAGAGTGAATGCAACTCCAACCACAATCCCATCTGGATTTTCATGGAACCTGATAAGGTAATTTGAAAGTTTACCTGAAAGAGCACAGGGAAAGAAGACCCAAAGCGCTCGTGAGAAAGAACTGGGTCCCGGCCCCCTACTGCCACAGGAACCCATTCCAGACGGATTCAGAACTCGAACAGGAAAGGCAAAACTTTTAGTAGAAAACATGAAATGGTGTACTACAGCCTCGAGGTAGGGGAAATTTTCTTAATTTTTATGACATAAGAAGGAGAAAGCATAAAGATAAAGACTAGTAAATCCAAGTATATTAAAAGCATCTGTTCAATATACCATAAATGAAGACATCATTAATACACATACCTGACAAAAAGATTAATATTCAGAATATGTAAAGAACTCTTACAAATCTAAGAAAGAGAAGACAATGGAAAAGAAAGATGGACAAAAGGCAAATAGGTATTTCATAGAAAAGGAAGGAGAAGTGGCCCATAAACAGTATACAACGTTCAATCTCATTAATCAGGAAAAACTACATGTTTTAAACTACAAATTTTAACCGTTTTCACTCCCACCGGGTGGGCAGAAATTGAAATGTAAGGCATTTCCAGGGCTGATGAGGGTGAGGTGCAGCAGGGCCCACCAGGCCCACGGCTGAGCACTGACTGGTCCCACCAACTTCGAGAGCTCTCCGACGGTACCTGGCAAAGTCGAACATGCATGTTTTCTACAACCCGGCACTTCCGCTCCTAGGTCTATACCTAGAGAAACTTACACATGCATAAGAATTTCACAACAGCATTTTTCTTAAAAGCAAAAGAGTTAGAAACAATACAAACACCACCAACAGCAGAAGGAATAAGTGCACTGAGTTACATCCACAAAGTAGAAAGGGATAACGTGGCGAAAGCTGTGGCAGTGAATGACCTACAGCTATGCCACACAAACACGATGACTCTCAAAAACACGTCAAAGGAGAAAAGCAAGTTAAAGAAGAATATATATGACCTTATTTCTATATAGTTCAAAATCAGGCAAATTTAATGTTATTCAGAAATATATACATAAGAAATAAAAATGTAAAGAAAAGCAAGAGACCTATCATGTTTGTTCTGAATTTGTGTGTGTGTGTGTGTATCTGTAAGAGGAAGGGAGGGGCCTGGAACCAGAGAGGGACAATGGGGCTTGGAAGGATCTGGTGGTGATCTATTTCTCATGCAGGGTGTTATGGGGTTTTACTGTCTTGCTCTAATCTTTATCTGAATTTGTTCAGTATGTGATTTTGTTTGTTATATAAAATACACAGTAAATATATTTTAAAAAACAGCTGATCCAATATAACACTTGTTCACAATAAAAACTTTAGTGCCTGGCTGGCATGGCTCAGTGATTGAGCGTCAACCTATGAATCAGGAGGTCACGGTTCAATCCCCAGTCAGGGCATATGTCTGGGTTGGGTGCTTGATCCTCAGTGTGGGGTGTGCAGGAGCAGCTGGTCAGAGATTCTCTCTCATCATTGATGTTTCTCTCTCTCTCCCTCTCCCTTTCTCTCCGAAATCAGTAAAAATATATTTAAAAAAAACTCCCACCAAAAAAAACTAACTAGCAGGGAAGAAAACTTGTTTAAGCTAAGAGAATCTTCAAATCTAAGGATGAAAAAATGATCCTTACTGCTGAAACTCTAGAAGCATCCACAGACAAGGATGCTAGCTAGCATCACCTCTATTCAACAAAGTCTTAGCCTGACTGCTAAGCAGAAAAATGAAGTGACAGACATTTAAAAAGGGTTATCTGTGAAGGGTACCACTGTCCACATAAAAAACCTAAGAGAATCTAAATAGGCAAGTCATTATATCTAAAAAGAGAGTTGAGCAAAATTTCTCTTTTATTAAACACAGAGCATGGCTGTTCACCTGTAATAACTACTTAAAACATATTATTGACTTAAAAATCCCATTCAGAACATAGCTTGGCCAGTGTGGCTCAGCTGTTTGGAGCATTGTCCTGTGCACTGACGGGTCGTGAATTCAATTCCCGATCAGGGCACATGCCTGGGTTGCAGGTTCAGTCCCTGGTTGGGGCACGTACAAGAGGCAACTGATGCATGTTTCTCTTACATAGATGTTTCTCTCTCTCCCTTCCTTCCTCTCTAAAATCAATAGAACATATCCTTGGGTGAGGATTAAAAAATAAAAATCCCCAGCCCTGACTGGTTTGGCTCAGTGGATAGAGCGTTGGCCTGCGGACGCAAGGGCCCCAGGTTCGATTCCGGTCAAGGGCATGTATCTTCGTTGCGGGTACATCCCCAGTAGGGGGTGCGCAGGAGGCAGCTGATCGATGTTTCTAACTCTCTA